AGCATTTTGGCAGGGCCTTAAAGGGGTTTAATCCTGCCCTGCCACAATCCCACAATCAACATACTGAGCTAGCTGCTCCCCTGTCCTCCAGCCACACACACACCACCTATACCCTACCAGCCCTGCTTTGGCCCACCTCTCCAGCTATGTCCTGACCCCTCCCCACTTTTGTGTCCCGGCCTCTCCGCTGCAAGCAGGGAATGCATCTCCCTGAAGCTTTCACTCCCTGATATACAACCATTTCCATTGCTATTACTTCCCCCCACCTATAACCCAACTCATGTGCAGTGCATGGAGTGAAGGACAACTATGTTACAGTGAAAACAGTATTCCTGATGGTGTTTCACAATGGTTGGAGCATGGCGTTCTGTACCACAACTGGTGAGAGAAATCACTGACAGGGTTTCTGTTCCAGAATACCGACAGTTTTATGTAGGAAAGAAAGATCCTCTGGTCCTGGTCCAATAGATGTACCCCATCTCCGAGAAACAGTAAGGTGTCAGAGCTTGTAGTGTTTCTGTGCCATATAGCACACATTTTCTCAGGAGCCATGAAACCTCCAATTTCCCAATTAATGTTCTTCTGACACTTTATTTATAGTTTTCATGCAATGTTGGGGTGCACTGGCAGAGCTGGTGGGTGTCATGCCTCCTCACCTGAGCCCCTAAGTTCTCACCTCCCCTACCATCTATCTCTATAACCTCCCTACTCCTCACTACAGCCTCAAACTCATCTCCCCCTATTCCCCACTTCTCCGCCCCCAATGGCTCTCCCCCCAGGAAGCATTCACATGTCTAATTCCCGCCCCCCAAATACTTAGATTACATTTCTCCCAAAAAGAAAATTTCCACCCATGACTCACACATTGTAGCAAGCTCTAGCCTCTCAATTAAAAACTCCTTTTGTCTTTCTTAGGTGGTGGCTTATGATTAATTTATCCTTAGTTATGTTAATTGAAGGGTGAGTTCACAGCCTCATCCAGTCATTATTAGTACCTCTCAGTTTAGCAGCATAAGGCAGCAGAAGGAAACTGGGTTTTTTGGAAGGCGGCTTTAAATCAGGAACCCATCAGTAATCCAAATTTGGGGTCATGTGACTAATGCTACCCCTTACCCGCATAAGTCACACCAAATTTCAAGCACTCAGAGTAATTGTTCGCATATTAGAATACTTAGAATCACATATAAAATAGTGGGACTGGAAGCCCTCTAGCCATTCTTCCGTCCTGGTGAATGTGCGGTGTAAAATGTGCTATTTGCAGAGTTTATGGAGCTGTGTTGGTCCCAGGATATTAGAGAGAAAGTGGGTGAGGTAATATCTTTTATTGGACCAACGTCTGTTGGTGAGAGAGAAGTTGGTCCAATAAAAGATATTACCTCACCCACCTTGTCTCAGTGTAAAACATATACATTTTGTTAAATACTATTCTCAGTTTGTGTTTCCTGTTCTCAATTTGGGATTTAGTGAGTGCCATGCACTACCTTGTGTAAAACTTAACATATTGAAGCCATTTTTGGGAAGGGGGTGGGGAAGTGTTCCAGGAAACTACAGGTCTCTTAGTTTGACTTCAATTGCATGCAAGGTCTTGGAACAAATGTTGAAAGAGAAAGTAGTTAAGGACATAGTGGTAAATAGTAATTGGGATAAAATACAACATGGTTTTACAAAACTTAGATCGTGCCAGACCAACCGGATCTCCTTCTTTGACAAGATAACTGATTTTTAGACAAAGGAAATGCAGTAGATCTAATTTACCTGGATTTCACAAAAAGAAAAGGAGTACTTGTGGCACCTTAGAGACTAACCAATTTATTTGAGCATAAGCTTTCGTGAGCTACAGCTCACTTCATTGGATGCATCTGTATAGTATAGTATAGTATAGTATAGTATAAATGGTGATACATGATTTGAGGACTTCAGTAACTCAGCTAGAGGTTAGGGGTCTATTACAGGAGTAGGTGGGTGAGGTTCTGTGTCCTGCAATGTGCAGAAGGTCAGACTAGATTGTCATGATGGTCCCTTCTGGCCTTAAAGTCTAAGAGTCTATCAATGGTTTGACCTCTAACTATGGGGGTGGTGGGGTGGCACAAAGGAAATCTCTAGAAGCTTTTTTTAAAATGACTATTTTCCCACAGGGCTTATATCACTGGGTCCCCTAGCTCAAAATGACTCCAAATTTCCGCTGGTGGCATCTGACTCCAATGATGAAAATGAACATGCGTTGGTCTGCACTGCTTTGGAGCCTTATCGAGCAGAGCCCACCATCAGCATGGACACATGTCCTCTTTGAATGGTGATTGAAGCATTAAGGGACATGTAAAACTTTATCGCATCTGGCACATAAATATTTTGCAACGCTGGCTACAACAGTGCCATGCGAACGCTTGTTCTCACTTTCAGATGATGTAAACAAAAAGCGGGCAACATTATCTTCTGCAAACGTAAACAAACTTGTTTGTTTGAGCAATTTGGCTGACATAGGACTGAGTGGACTTCTATGTAGGCTCTAAAGTTTTACATTGTTTTGTTTTTGAATGCAGTTATTTTTGTACATAATTCTACATTTGTAAGTTCAACTTTCATGATAAAGAGATTGCATGACAGTACTTGTATGAGGTGAACTGAAAAATACTATTTTTACAGTGCATTTATAATAAAAAGTAAATATAAAGTGAGTACCGTATATTTTGTATTCTATGTTGCAATTAAAATCAATATTTGAAAATGTGGAAAACATCCAAAATATTTATATAAATGGTATTCTATTATTGTTCAACAGCGCAATTCATTGCTATTAATTTTTGTAATCATTCAAGAGCCCTAGTAGTTAGCCACTCAATCACATACCTCATAGGGAACAAACTCTGCTCATAAGAGAGATTTCTTCAACCTTAACTCTACACAACTGCTAATAAACTGCATCTCAGTCAACAAGGGACTGCTGTTTCTGAACTACCACCAGCCTTTTATATTTGCTGATCAGGGTAAGGCCAACTGATGAGATCAATTAAATCACAGCTGCTTTTTTTTTTCTTTTTTTGAGTCCAGACAGGCTAAGGGGGAAAAGCAGATGTACTTCCTATACCTCTGCTGGTGGCCTGTGCCTACTCTTGCAACGTTTTTTTAAAAACAGAACTAGCCTGCCGTCTCTCTCACTGGAATAGAAGGGATATGACATGTCTGGCATGAATATTTGCCTGATGCTTTCAAAAGGGCTGTACACCATGTTATGAGCTCACGAGCGAGCGTCTGTAGGTTCAGAAGAAACTATTGAAACAGTCTGAGACTAGGGCTACCCTGACAGATATAGAGTGCCGGGAGTTAAACCAGCCCTTGGAGATGGCAGCAGGGAAAGCGCTGCTGTGTGTTCACGCTGTCAGCTGCAAGCGCAGTGGCATGGTCACATTTGTGGCACTTGCAGCGGTGCGTTATGGGCAGCTATCCCACAGAGCACCTCTTCCCATTCTGGCACTGAGGCTTGTGGGAAGGGGAGCACGGGGTATCTTGGGTCCTGTCCCAAAGCCCCAGGATGCATCGCTTTGCATCCTAGCAATCCCTGTGCTTCCGTCCACATTTAGCCCCATCTTTCAATGGTTTTTGCACTGTGTGCTCTGTCTTCCCTTTTGGTCTGCGGAAATGGATCCCGAACTGCTGAGGAATATGCTGATGGGTCTTGCTAGCATGTCACAAATTGCAGTCGAGTTACTCCTCAAGCTACAAAGTGACAGTGAGGAATCCAACAATGATGTTGATATGCATAATGCAAAGGACACGAGATTGCTTATGGCATTTGTGGACATGCTCACCACCATGGAACGCTGCTTTTGGGCTTGGGAAACAAGCACTGAGTAGTGGGATCACATCATCATGAAAGTCTGGGATGACGAGCAGCGGCTGCAGAACTTTCAGATGAGGAAAGCCATGTTTATGGGACTGTGTGCTGAGTTCACCCCCACCCAGTGGTGCAAGGACATGAGATTGAGAGCTGCCCTGTCACTGGAGAAGCAGGTGGCTATTGCAATCTGGAAGCTCACTACTCCAGACAGCTACAGACTGGTCGCTAGGCAATTCGGAGTGGGAAAGTCAACCGTTGGAATCATGCTGAGGCCATTAATCGTGTCCTGTGCAGAAGAACCGTGACTCTGGGCAACGTGCATGACATTGTGGCTGGCTTTGCACAAATAAGTTTCCCTAACTGCGGAGGGGTGATAGATGGCATGCACATTCCAATTCTGGCACCAGACCATCTAGCCACTGAGTACATTAATCACAAGAGGTATTTCTCAATGGTTCTCCAGGCACTTGTGGATCACTATGGGCATTTCATGGAGATTAACGCAGGCTGGTCCGGAAAGGTGCATGATGCACACATCTTTCAGAACACAGGTCTGTTCAGGAAGTTGCAAGTTGGGACTTTCTGCCAGGACCAGAAGATCACTGTAGGGGAAGTCGAAATGCCCACTGTGATCAGAGACCTCGCATACCCTTTAATGCCATGGCTCATGAAACCATACACAGGGAGCCTTGACAGCAGCAAGGAGTGCTTCAACAGTCTGAGTCAGTGCAGAATGACTGTTGAGTGTGCCTTTGACCATTTAAAGGGCTGCTGGCGCTGTCTGTATGGGAAGCTGGACCTGGCTGCTGACAACATCCCTACGGTTATAACCGTATGCTGTATTCTCCATAACATTTGTGAAGGGAAGGGTGAAAGCTTCACTCAGGCATGAACCACTGAGGCTGAATGCCTGGAAGCTGAATTTGAACAGCCAGAGACCAGTGCTATTAGAGGGGCCCAGCATGGGGCTGTAAGCATTAGGGATGCCTTGAGGGAGCAATTTGATGCTGAAAGCCACCAGTAAGGTTTAGTGCCCTGCATGGAAGTGAAGTGCAGTGGTTCCAATGCTCATAATCATTTGTGTTTGCTACATACGATGCACTGACTTGCAGGGCCTGTTGCTTTCCTGGGCTATGCTATCTTTTACTTAATGCAATAAAAAATGTTTCCAAAACCAAAAAATTCATTTATTGAAAAGAAAACAACTGCTGGAGAAACACACATGGCACGACACATCTGTGCTATGTGGGAGGAGGGAAAGGGGTAGGGTGGGGAAAGGAACAATCACAGATTTGCCTATGTCCTATTATCATTTTCAGTCTTCTTGTCTGGAGTGCCGTGCAACAAGTGCTGCACTTCAGGCTGGCTAAAATGTATGGTGATGGGGGTTGAGTGCAGTAGGTAAGGGTCGTAGTTTGCAGGGGTGGGCAGTGAAGCTAAAGGTGTTGGAGGCAGCTGGTGCCGATAAGAAACCAGATGTCCGGGAAAGTGGGTTGGGGTAACATGGGAGCACAGGAGAAAGAGTTTGGGGACAAGGGCTGCGGAGAGAGGGGGCACGGATCTGCTCCCTATGCAGTGCTATGAGCGCCTACATCGAATCTGCTTGGCGCTCCATAATGCTTAGGAGCTGCTCCATGGTTTGTTGCCAGCAATCCGCATTCTCCTAGCAGACCCTCCTTTTGGTCTCCTGCCACTCCTGTACTTTATTGTCAGTAAGGGACTGCTGCATAACTCCATGCAGAAGGTCCTCCTTGCTTCTTCACAGTTGCTTCCTGAGTCTTTGCAGCTTTTCGGCAGTTGATAACAAGGATGGCTGGGATCTCAACGTTGCATCTGTAAAGCCAAAATGCAACGTTTAACAGAGGCAGCATTGTTAACACTAGACAGAGCAATGATTTGGCCGAACTTATAGAAAAGCACAGTGCACACAATAGCAGAAACTGCCTGTCCCAAGGCGAATGCACATAACCCACAAGAGCCCTGAAATGGTAAGTACCACGGGGGATGGGGAGGGGGGAAAGACTGATGGTACCAGGGGCATACTGTCCTCTGGGGTCCTGTGCCTTGGGGAGAGCCAACAGCTGCAAGGCGCCCCTATACTCCACACTGTCCCCACATTTTCCACAGGATGAGTTCGTCCTGAAAGATATCTCACTGCTGAGGGTGACCTGGGAAGCAAGGGAGGGTCTTCTGCAACAATACAACTTCCACCCTGGCCTATATGCAGCTTGCCTGTGTGCAGCAACTGTCCCCCCCGCCCCTCACAGCACAGTGGCATAGACATTTTAGCTTGACTGGGACAAGGAGCACAGTAGCTCTGCCAAGGAACCTGAGCAAGCAGATTGCCCAGCTTCTGCATGAGACCTTTCATGAGATCACTGAGGCCAATTAACGTGATGTGAGAGCACATCAATGCCCTATTCCGTATCTAGGCATGCATGCAGCCCTGACCCTTCTTTCTGCAACTCTCCTCGCCCCAACTGTCTTCTCAAAATAAAAGCTGCTTACCGCACCTCATCTGCGGTTTGTTCTTCCCCAAGCACCATCCGCTGTGACTGGCTACCTTTCTCCTGGCTTGAAAACAGCTCCTGGCTGCATGCATCTAGGGATGCCAGGACATCCTCTGGCTCTGGGCCCCCATCCTCCTCAGCACCCTTGCTCCCACTTTCCTCCTCCTGCTTTGTTGCACTCTGGGCTGCCATGGCCTCTGAAGTGTCCATGGTGCTCTTCAGCGTGGAGGTGGGGTCGCCCCCAGTATCTCGTCCAGCTTTGTTGAACTGGCAGGTCGTGGGGGCAGCCCCGGAGTGGTTGTTTCCCTCCAGCGCTTCGTGATAGGTATTCCGCAGCTTCTTCAATTTAACCCTGCACTGCATCCCGATCATGGCCCCTTTCTCTCAGGGCCCTTGATATCTGCCCGTAGGTATCGTAATTCCTAAGGCTGGAGCACAGCTGGGACTGGAAAGCTTCCTCCCCACAAACACTGATGAGGTCCAGCACCTTGCCATTGCTCCACACTGGGGATCACCTGGCACATCGAGGCATGGTCACCTGGAAAGATTCGCTGAGAGCACTCCATGCCTGGCTGAGCCAACAGGAAGGGGATTTTCAAAATTCCCAGAGAATTTAAAGGGTGGGTCCGACAGTTGGTCACCTGAGGACAGGGCAGTCGACTTCAAAGTGATGACCAGAGTGGCTAGAACAGGCACCGTGCAACACTTCCTGGAGGCCAGTCAGAGTGTATTAATAGATCAGGGCGTCCACACTGGCACCATGGCACTCCAGCCAGGGTGCAACAAGCTCTATGTTTCTCGTGGAGGTGAATTACCGGGGCGCTCCAGCTGTGGAGTCTGGACGCTCTATGTGCCTTACCAGTGTGGACACCTCAGGAGTTAGGGTGCCCGGGGCTGATTTAATGCACTCCAACTTGCAAGTGTAGGATAAGAAAACATGTGAAGGTAAAGATCTGTATAGCTGAGGTACCCAAACAACCTTAACTCTTTTTTGTAGTAGGGCATGCACTAAACAGGTGTTTATGATTACGGTATTTTAGCATCTGTGGTCCCAGATGAAATTAAACTAATTTTATTCACTCTCTCTCTCTCCCTCCTCATGGTGTCACTATAGGGTAGAAATACGGTTGTTTGGGTGCCTTAATTATGCATTTCTTTTAATTAGAAACTTACCACTGTATTTCTTTGGTTTGGGGATAATTATTTTTGCCCTTAAGTCAGTGATATGTATTCTTAAGTGTAATTCTATTTTGTTGCTTTTTGTCTAAAGAGCAACAGTTGGGCCAAATAATCTACTAGTGAGAATTCTGACACGTTTCTTGTTTCCATCATATCACTTTCGTTACAACCAGTAGAATGGTTACATGTATTTTAGCTGTAGAGAAAGGGTGGTATGTTGATCGAACTACATCTGATGTCTCAGTGACTCCACTAAAGCGACATGAGCTGTTGACCTGACCCTCTCTAGAGTCTGTATCAGTGGTTTTCAATTTTCTTGTTTGCAACCCCCCTAAAAAATTTACTAGTAGAGGTGCAGACGCTTTGGAAGCTTTGAATGGAAATGCAAATGCCTTTAGAAATCTATTGTCCATCTATTCTACAGAGAATTCTTTCCTGGGTATCTAGCTGGTGAATCTTGCCCATATGCTCAGAGTTCAGCTGATCGCCATATTTGGGGTCGGGAAGGAATTTTCCTCCAGGGCAGATTGGACGAGGCCCTGGAGGTTTTTCACTTTCCTCTGTAGCATGGGGCACAGGTCACTTGCTCGAGGATTCTCTGCTCCTTGAAGTCTAAACCATGATTTGAGGTCTTCAATAGCTCAGACATAGGGGAGAGGTTTATCACAGGAGTGGGTGAGTGAGATTCTGTGGCCTGCATTGTGCAGGAAGTCAGACTAGATGATCATAATGGTCCCTTCTGACCTTAATATCTATGAATCTTTAGTTGGAGCCTGACACCTAGCTGAACAGAATAAGTCTTTTGCAGACCCCCTTAGACATAGTCACAGGCCCCCAGGGGTCCATGGACCACAAGTTGAAAGCCACTAATCTATATAATTGTTAATAACTTAAATGCAAAATTTAGAATGTAATTATCACCTACGCTCAGGATTTAATGTAATTTGAATGATATGTCAAGTTTGAAGAGAGTCTGCATTATTCCAGTGGCTTTGTCCCAATTGATCTCACCAACAGAATAATGCAGTAAGAAATCCAAATTAACCAGCTCCTTCAAAAAAAAGTTGGCAAAGAGCTCCTCACCTGCCTGAAGGGCCACACAGGAGAAAGACTGCATACTGAACTTTGATTTCCAGAAAAGATTATGGAAGGGGCAGGAGTCAGCCTAGGCACTTAATAGCTAGCTTGCATTTTGAATTGAAGGTTTACTGAGCATGTACACTAATTTACTTTCAATTTAATATAGACTATGGAATGTGTACGTGTGAACATTGTTTAACGGTAATTGACAGTGATGCTAATTTAGTTATCAGTGTTATTCAATTGCCTCTGGTTCCCTATTCCCTTTGACAAATCCTGTTCAGTGAAATAATAGGACAACTGAAATTCATTTACTTTTATCTATTTATAAAGTTTAAATAGTCCTGGTGCAACGATAAATTAATCCACCTGTTCTATCATTTCTGTTTGTCTTGTGTCTTAAATATTCTATTTCCCTATCATAGGCAGAATAGGGAATCAAGCCAATTATTCCTTTAGGCAAATGGCTAAGAATTTTTCCTTTTTAAAAAAAAAAATATATATTGGGGCTGCCAAGCAATTGAAAAAATTAATCTCAATTAATCACGCTGTTAAATAATAATAGAACACCATTTATTTAAATATTTTTGGATGTTTACTACATTTTCAAATATATTGATTTCAATTACAACACAGAATACAAAGTGTATAGTGCTCAATTTATTACAAATATTTGCACTGTAAAAAAGATAAACAGTATTTTTCAATTCACCTCATACAAGTACTGCAGTACAACCTCTTTATCACGAACGTGTAACTTACAAATGTAGAATTATGTACAAAAAATAATTGCATTCAAAAACAAAACAATGTAAAACTTTAGAGCCTACAACTCCACTCAGTCCTAGGTCAGCCAAATCGCTCAGACAAACAAGTTGGGTTGCAATTTGCAGAAAATAATGCTGCCCACTTCTTGTTTACAATGTCACCTGAAAATGAAAATAGGTGTTCGCATGGCACTGTTGTAGCCGGCATTGCAAGATATTTACATGCCAGATGCACTGAAGATTCATACATCCCTTCATCTTCATAGGACATGCTGGTGTTGGGTTCTGCTCGATAATGATCCAAAGCAGTGCAGACCGACACATGTTCATTTTCATCATCTGAGTCAGATGCCACCAGCAAAAGGTTTATTCTCTTTTTTTGGTGGTTCGGGTTCTGTAGTTTCCGCATCGGAGTGTTGCTTTTTTAAGACGTCTGAAAGCATGCTCCACACCTCGGCCCTCTCAGATTTTGGACAGCACTTCAGGTTCTTATACCTTTGGTCGAGTGCTGTAGCTATTTTTAGAAATCTCACATCGGTACCTTCTTTGCGTTTTGTCAAATCTTCTGTGAAAATATGTTCTTAAAACAAACATGTGCTGGGTCATCATTTGAGACTGCTCTAACATGAATATATGGCAGAATGCGGGTAAAACAGAACAGGAGACATACAATTTTCCCCCATGTAGTTCAGTCACAAATCTAATTAACGCATTATTTTTTTTAACAAGCATCATCAGCATGGAAGCATGTTCTCTGGAATGGTGGCTGAAGCATGAAGGGGCATACAGATGATTATCATATCTGGCATGTAAATATCTTGCAACGCCAGCTACAACAGTGCCATGCAAACACCTATTCTCACTTTCAGGTGACATTGTAAACAAGAAGTGGACAGCGTTATTTTCTGCAAATTGCAACCCAACTTGTTTGTCTGAGCGATTTGGCTGATGTAGGACTGAGTGGAGTTGTAGGCTCTAAAGTTTTACGTTATTTTTTGTACATAAAATTCTACATTTGTAAGTTACACTTTCATCATAAAGAGATTGTACTGCAGTACTTGTATGAGGTGAATTGAAAAATACTATTTCTTTTACCATTTTTACAGTGCAAATTTGTAATAAAAATATAAGATGAGCACTGTACACTTTGTATTCTGTGTTGAAATAGAATATATTTTTAAAATGTCAAAAAACATGAAATTCATTAAATATTTTTAAATTGGTATTCTATTGTTTAACATTGCGATTAATCTTTGAGTTAATCGCATGAGTTAACTGTGATTTATTGACAGCCCTA